AAAAAAAAAAAAAACCTTGTTGTATTTCAATAGATCATTGTGAAGAATAGATGGAATTATATATTTACTCTTTATGACTATAGTAGTAAATCTGAAGATATCCTAACAGCAGGCAATTAATTAGTACTTCTGTCCAGTGTTCTAGAAGTCGCTAGGCGCTCGTTAGGCACCCGACCAGCGCCTAGCGCCTAGAGCGCCTAGTCGGGGCCTAGAAATTATAATAAATATATTATTTTTATTTATTTTTACAAATTTTAAACATTACACAACATAAAACAATTATAAAAACAAACTAAACACTAAATTTCACTAATCATTAACTAAATAAATTAACACATATAATAATAATACAATAAAACACATGAATAACAAAATAAGAAATAAAAAAAATATATGCAAAAAAAAAAAAATACTGTAAAAGCCGCCTAGAACCCGCCTCAGCCGCCTAGTCCCGCCGAAACCGCGTAGCCGCCGTGACCGCCGAGGCCGCCTAGCTCCGCCTAGGCCCGACTAGCCCGCCTGGCCAATTTTTATGGCCGATTTTAGCAAATCGTAGGCGGCGCACCACCGCCTAGCGCCTAGGCGCCGCCTAGGCGGCCGCCTAGGCCGACTTTTCGAACAGTGCTTCTGTCCGCTTTTCTAATGTTTTCAAATGGCATTGAAACCATCTTTCCATAAACGTAAAGTCCACCAATGTGGGCAAGTATTTATGTAGACATTTCAATACCAATAAGTTTAATTTCAAGACTGCAAATTCTAATTAATATTTCTTTTCCAAACTAGTTCTGAATGGAGGTGAACAAATGTATTAAATCCACAGCTATCACTACCAAACAACCTAGTATAGAGGCGCCAAAGTTCAAAAAATCATGGGCAACAATATTCCCATATGCATCCAATTTTGGGTGGTGGTGGCCCTCATGATGGTCGGATGTATGGGTATGATCAACGACACCAAGCTGGCCTTATTTGGTCGTCGTAAGCCTCCTCCGCCACCATCAGAGTCGCGTGGTTAAGCAGCGCTCAGGTGACATGGTCAGTTTTATAAAGTATTGCGCCAGATATATGCATAGGTTTTCACCCAGGTTCCATAGACCCAATAAGGAATGCTGCGAAATTGCCCGGAAGGTGAGTATTCCATTGTTTTGCAAGATTTTCCTTATACCAGAGACGCATATGATATTCAGCGCTAGTAAAGTGGTTATCATTGCAAAAGATTGTGGCAAGCCTCTCCGTCGCCATTCATGGTGTGGAAGTAAGTCTAATCTTTTCTAGCTTACGTACCATATTAATCGATCTGCCTAACAGTTTGATCACCTGACGCAAGAACTTCCAACAATTGATTCGGTTTGTGAATGCAGCCCACTTCGTTCGGAAGGGACCAACGATTCCACCTAATGTTCAAAAGGGACCGACGACGACTCTACGGGAAAATCAAACATCACCTCAGAAAACCAACTCCATGCACCCAAGAACGCAATTCGAGAATTAATACGTACTGACATCCCGAAGTTGCTTCTATATGTAATAAACTGCATAACTAATCTGTAATTCTTCAAATTGGTGATTACATAATGTCATTGTTGATTTAATTTTTGAATTAGTACTAACGCAATCTTTATTGATTACATAATGTCATTGTTGATTTGATTTTTGAATTAAGTGTTCATGTGTATACGTCGGGAGAAGGACGTATTTGGTTCTGTTTCGTCGATTGGTTCGGTTTCGGCTTGTGATTTAGAACGAGGCATTTCAACCGAAAATCACCATAGATACTTCACGGACCCATTATCCATGCACATAAAAATTGGCACCATATGTGGAACATGGTTGAGTTAAGATGACAATAATAAAAAATAAAAAAGAGAGAAAATTTTGTGTTGTGGCTAACACTACTAATTTGGACCCAATTCTTGTGGCATAGCCTCTCAAACGCAGTTGTATGAGTAAAATAAAACCAAGTTTTATCGGTGACCTATTAAATTGGGTCTCCAAAAAATAACCAAAAATAAAAAAATAAAATAATAATAATAAAATAAAATAACCAAAAACTGGCTACCCAAGTGACCTTGGGTGGCGACTGGGTTGTGTGTTGAGAATAGGACACGTGTTTTATTCTTATTGGTTGGTTTTATTTTTAAGATAAAATAATTATAAATAATTTTTAAAAGGATAATAATTAGTATTAATTTATATTATAACAATAAAAATATTAAAATTCTTTTTTTTCTATTCTCTATATCTGGAAATCACATTTAATACATTTTGGAACACAATTGCCCTTCTATCTTTTCACTATTTCCCTAATCATACTTATTAATTTTATCATCTCTTTTATTTTTCTAATTTCTAACAAATATCATGTGGATCTTTTCACGACTTAATTATAGAGTTTTTATTTAATTTGTCACAGATAAAACAATAAGAAATACAAATAAATAATAAAAATAAAACAAATATTTTAGGCTGGTCTGGTTGGGTTGTCGATAAAGATAACTTGAGTTGGAAGGTTAGATTGCGTAGCTGATGAGAGAGAAATAAATTTTATTTATTAGGTTGTGTTGGATTGAAGATAGAGATAACCTGATGGAGCTTCTGAATACCAAGAATAATAAAATAAATATGAATATACACATTGAACCCAAAAACCTACCCCAGAAGCCTAATTTTTCTAGGATCATTCGTTAGAGTAGAATGTCCAGCGTTCCAATTTGATTGGCTCTTTTCCTACTTGTAAAGACACTTTATTGAAAATTATATTGTTTTGAGACATTGCTTTATCTTATGTAATTGCATTTATTACATATTTGCATATATAATAAAGTTCTTATATCATTATTAGCTATGAGTGATGGTTGCGCATTTGATGACAATTATGGAACATGTCTTTTAATCTACGATCTTAAATAAATTTCAAGTCGATCGGTGTTTCGAGAAAGGACATTGAATAACCCGGTAAAACATAAACATATGATGCATGCTCGTTGGACGAGGATGTGACATTCCAACAACATTAGTGTGTGGAGGCAAATCCATATATGCAGGTGCTTGTTGGGGGAATAAGTTCATTGAACATGACCGAATGAAAATTCTTAGCAAGAAGTTTTAACTGTTGAATAAGAATATTCATGTTGCAATAGTACATGACTGGTCTTAAGACTTGAAGCTCGATAATGATCTTATGCATATTGTGCTTTACTTTGATCTATCCTTTAATTGTTGGGCAGTTATAAAAGGAATATTTGGGTATTGTATTAATGTGTATGCAGGCTTATCTGTGCCCAACATAGAAATAGACGCTTAGTTGAACAAGTGAATTTCATATGTTTTTTTTATAGTTTTGTGATTCAAACACCTTGGCCAATGAGGGATAAATTTAGATTATAGAGGAATCACTAATGAAATCACAGTTATTAAATGATTGGATTTCGTGTTATAAATTCATGCTCAAGATTTAATTAAGAAATTAGTTGTCGAAAGCATATTACATGTATGCACTTGCAATTAGAAAAGTTCACTCGCTATTTACTTTGATGTAGCACCCAGAATAACTCGGTTGGCCAGCCCGAGCGGTTGGCTCGGGTATGACCAGTCCGAGGGAGCATTAGCTCGATTACTGCAATTTAAAGATATGCGATATTAGTTAAATACCTCTAAAGATTTAGGAAATTTTTCAAAAGATATTTAAGTAAGATTGTATATATCGACAAAGTGATTTGGGAGGATTATACTCCTGAATTATTAAGAAAATCCATGTCTTGGAGAGTAAGTCATTAAACTCTTCTAAATAAGAGATTCAGGTTCATTTATAATCTTAAGCTCTGAATAAGTCTCTCAATTAAATATATTTGAAATATAAGTTTCTGACTTAAGCATCGGGGTGTCTACACTGGGGCCCATGATGAAGATTGTGTATCCCTTTGATTTATTTGTGGAGAAACGCGCGCTAATGTCCTAGCTTCTACCCGATAGATTGCGAAAACTCGTATTGATGGTCTTGGTAAAACACAAGAGTGAAAAAACCTGATTATCGGCCTAGTTTTAACATTAAGAATTTGTGCCCAAGACGAGAGATTTTCTTATTTCATTGCTTGAATAAAATAAATTGAATGAATGCATAGGCTATTTAAGGAAAACTAATACTAAGCCTATGAGATATTAAATTCTACTCATAAGCAAATAACTAGCATCCTAAGAATTACCAAATAGCTAAACATCTAAACATAGAAAGAATAATAAACTAAGAATAAAATCTAATAATAATAAGTTTTCTACATTCAACCAAGATCGTCTAGATGAATGTCGACCACTTGTTGCAAAGAACGCACGTCTTGTGCGCCTCTCGCATGCTTGCTACCCACGCGCGAGAATGCCAAGTCACCCTTGCGTGTGCCCGCGATTGTCTGCTCGCTCGAGTCACCTTCGCGCGTGTTTGCACCACCTATGGAGCACGTGATTCCCGCATTCGAGGTTTTCGCTCTATTTTGCAATGGTCCAGTGCTTCGTCCCTTCGACTCTCGTGAAGTCTTGTCGGTGGTCGCGCAGTCTCCTGCAGACGCTTCTAGTCATACAGTCTCGTGCAGTTTCCTCGCCCTTCACACGTTATCGCGCGGTTGCACATTGTCTTTCTCGAGCGTTATCTCGTGTGCTGGCTTCAGTCACGTGTGCCTTTTGTCCTGCTTATCGTCTGTCGTGTGGCTTGTGGCTTGACGTAACATGTGCTTGTAGCACAAACCTCCGGGTACTTAGTTGTTGTCTCGCTGTCTCCTGCGGCTACACGCTGTCCCGGTCGCGCATCGTCTATCTGTTTGTCGACGGGTCGTCATGCCTGCTCGTCGAAGAGTCGCTACGCGATGCTCCCACTGCCCCCAACGAGTCTCCTGTCCTGGTGACAGGAGATCGCCCAGAGTACCAACTACTCTACTGCAGGTGTTGCTCGTTGACCCATCGAAGAACGTATACGGAACATTCCATCCCCCTTCAATTATGTCTTTTGTCCACAAGGACATGTTTTGGAGCATAAACCACCTTTTTATCCGCAGAAAACTTCCTCAATGTTTGTGGCTCGTATTGTCGTCTGTTCTCGACCTGGTCTTGTACTGGTCCAACGGACAGGGGTTCACTTGTTTATGTTCATTCACAATCAATAAGGGTGCATAAATATCACACTCATCCGTCTAAAGGATCTCAACATCGAAACGAGGTGGACCATCATAATCGATCGATTCTTGCTCCTCCACAAACATAGGGAATTCTGGCTCCTAAAAAAACTGAAGAATTCCAAACAAGAATGATAACGGCCAATGACAATATTTGGTGAACAGGCCCTTGTCCCGATGGTTTGTCCCCATTGACCAGTTATCTTTATTACCTGCAAAATTTTCTCCAAAATTCAGCCTTTTCTCAAACTTTCCTAGGGCCTTGCCGGCCCTAGCAGATTGCACCACATTGCAAGGTGGCTGTTGGACCATGGTTGGGCTGCTGCCGAGTCGCTGAGGGTTGCTCGGTGCTGCTCGGGCACGCTGCGGTACCGCACTGTTGTGTCTGCTAGTGCACGATCGTCGTTGGGTTTTTCTGGGTTTCTTCAATGCTGCTGACGCACGGGGCCTTTGCGGTCGTTTTCAGGCTAGTTGTGCGCGGCCACTTGCTGGGCGCGCTGGAAACTTGTTGTGTGTGCATCTGGTTGCCTGGACGGGGGGCGACTGTTGGATTTAATTTGGCCGTCAGAAATTTGGGATGTGACACCATTTTTTCTTGTAATTTTTCTGTGTGCACGTCGACGAATTTGAATCACACTTTCGCGTGCAACCGATAGTCCATTGGAGCCACATCCTTTCCACCCGCTCAAGCTTCCTTCACCAATTGTGTGTCCTTTTTTATTTTTTTGTTTATCTTTTTATATTTAAGGATACACGATCAGACTTTCTGAATGAAAGCACCAATAATAAAGAACGTGTATCGTGGACTTGTTTGTGACGAAGCGCGTGCTAATGGCCTAGCTTCTACAAAATAGATTGTGAATACCCCCACTAAAAGCCTAGATAAAACTTAGGAGTGAAAATAATCCGTGCTAGCAGCATAGTTTTAACACAAAGGATTTGTGCTCAAGACGAGTGATTTTCTTATTTCATTGTTTGATAAAAGTCGAATGAATACATAGGCTATTTAAGGAAAACTAATACTAAAGCCTTTGAGATTTAAAATTCTACCCCTAAGAAAAGTAATTAACTAGCATCCTAAGAACTACCAAATAACTAACTAAACATACTAGGGATAGTAAACTAAGAATAAAATCTAATAATAATAATATGTTTCCTAAAATCGACAAAGATCTTCTTGAAGAATCCCGACCACTTGTTGTACAAAGCACGCCCGCCTTGTGCGCCTAACGCACGCTTGCTGCCCACGCACGAGAATTTTGGGTCGCCCTTGATCGTGTCTGCGCCCTCGCGCGTGTCCGTGCTCGTCTCCTCGCCCGGGTTGCCTTCGCGC